TGAAACGGCAGATATTTCTCGTCAGACGAGTCAAATCCGATCTCCAAGAACTCGACATTCGGTGAAGCATTAAGTCATTTACGGAAATGACAATCAAATCAAATACTGTAGAAATCCACTAAACATATGATCACTCATTTGAATGTTAATATTCAATAAATTTAAGTCAATTTTTAAAAACGAGAAAATGATTTATTATTACAATAATTATTGATTTCTATAAATACAATGAATGGTTGATTAGATATCACAGAATATTCTGTAGTTTAGACCAATTGAATGATTATATCGATTTGAATCCAAACCAAAATCTATGGCTTATATGATATGGGATTTGGAGTTTGGGTTAGTTTTGCATCGATTTTCGTATGTATGAAATGTACTGAAAAATATTGATTAAACAAAAATTGACATCAATTTGAGTTCAAACAGCGAATGAATTTGAAATTCATTGACAAAAAATGGTTCAATCGATTGATTGCATAGAAAAACAATTATTTTAACAATTAGTATATCTTTGATATATAAATATATATTAATTTAATTAATAATAAATATTAGATATTATAAGATATTATCATCGGATCGGTTCCCAACCGATGGTTCATCGGATCAACGGATCACCCGATGGTCTCAATTGCATTGAGTGGTGGTCTGCGAGTAGTTGTTGTGACAATTGGTTTGCATGAATGGTATGAACGAGAAGATACAGTTCCCGACACCACTCATGCACAGCATGAATACGGCCACAGCAAACACCAGGGAACAGATGGTACACGGCTTCCGCTCCAAGACATAGCCTATGAGATACAGCACCACAAACATCACCTGATTCTGGACCAAAGTGGCGTTCATCGGCTTCGGGATCAACAGCACGGGTATTAACCACTGAAGACAATACATTGTCTCTCTCTTGGCGATGTCCTACAGTTGTCTCGCAATGAATGCAATTAGGGATCAATTGTTTTCATGAATGCTTTCACATGTAAATGACATTCATTTCAATGTTTTGTTGTTTTCATAATTAATCGCAAATCAATTAAATGGCAATAAATGGCAAACAAATGATTCACTCATTCATTGCATACAAACACAAAGCCATTGAATGCCTCAATAGATGGCATTCACGGCATTGTTGTCATCACTCACTCACTGATCGCTCGCGAAGACAATCAGTCCATCACTTTATGCATCACTTGATTGTGTCTTTGATTGTCACCACAACCACAACAACACCGCTGCAGACATGTATGGCTTAGAAGAGGCGGGAATTCCGGGCAAAGAATATCTTCGCGATTCGCTGACCAATTGCTCGGATCCGTTGAAAGCGATCGAAGACTTCCAGACAGAGAACGGCATTCTTCTGCCATCTCTTCGGCCAATGCTTCCACTGCTGGACTTACACGGAGTCCGACGACAAGAGTTTCATTTCTCAGTTCTGGAGGAATTGCGGGACAAACTGATCGCTCGCATCGAAGACATGAACAAATTGGAGGCCAAAGAGCGCGAGAAGAAGTTGAAAGAGTTGTTGTTTAAGAGCTTTCCGTTGATAAGAGTGCCATCCCTTCAACCCGTGGTTATGGCTATTATGAAGCACTTGGATATCGTTGAAGACAAATACCTCAACCAATTGGTCGCCGATAAGAGTCTGTACGCGAAGTGCGACGTCTCTGTGAAGCGCCAGATATGGCAACAGCACCCGACCCTCTTCGGGGATGAGGTCTCACCCATACTCAGCCAATACATCAAAGAGGTATACCATTCGCACCCGAGTTCTTGTCATTTCCTAATTGTTTACTGTATTCCTGCAGAAAGAGTCCCTATTCTTCAACTTCAAAGACATCAACAAAACCTTTTATGTGTTGACTCCGAAGGTCAGGCGACAGAACCCTATAATCCAGACATTAGTGAAAATGGTCGGCAAGAATGTCCTCCTCTACGATACGATCCTCCAGTTTCTGCGGACACTGTTTTTGCGCACAAAGAATGTCCACTACTGTACCCTTCGAGTGGCACTCCTGATGGCACTACACGACTGCGAGGTGCAGGACATCACTGGAATGGATCCGTGCCATAAGTTTGGCTGGTGTTTGGACGCCTGTATCCGGGAGAATGTGATTGACCCGAAACGCTCGCGAGAACTGCAGGGCTTTCTGGAAGGCGTGCGCAGAGGACAGGAGCACGTGTTGGGCGACATATCGATGACTCTCTGCGACCCCTATGCCATCAATTTCCTGGCGCTGTCGTGCATGAAGATCCTCAACCATCACATCCAGAACGAGAGCCTCGCGCGAGACAATCACGTTCTCATGCTTTTGCTGCGAATGTTGAACTTAGGTCTCCACAGTTGGGATGTCCTAAACTCGCAGGTCTTTCGTGAGCCGCGACTCGAACCCGATCTCATCACCAAATTCGTGCCGATCCTCATGTCGTTCATAGTTGACGATCAGGTCAGACATCTTAACGCTAAGCTCCCGCCCGATGACAGGGAGTCGGCGCTCGCTATCATCGAACACTCGGGTCCTCCGCCTGACGCTTACCAACAGTTTGTCTCAGAGGACAGATTGGCCTCAATTTTGGCCATTTATTACACCTTACAGGTGACCAAACAGAAGGACAAACAGGCAGTGATGCGAGTGTTGGGAACTCTGGCCTCTTCTCACGACAACCGGGCCCTCGACGACCAGTATTTGCATATTTTGGTCAATAATCTCATCGCAATGGCAGAGGACTTCTCCAGCGAAGAGTTCTGTTCAGTGGTCTTGGATGAGGTGTTTATGCCGGCCCTCACGTACGGCAATGTAGTCCACCATCTGATGAAGTTGTTGTCCCACACCTTCCAACACATCCCAACACAACGACTCGAAAATATCATTAAAATTCTCGAATCCTTTTCATATCACAACGAAAGCAGTAAAACTCTTTTCGCAGAATTGCAGACAAAAGTCACGGAATTCGTGGAAAGGGCTGAAACACTGCCCCAACAGGCCGTCCAAAGCAACGAAGGCTTGGGTTCTGTTCTCACACGCGATTGAAATGACTTTTTGTATACTAATTGTGTTTCCATTAAATTCATTAATTATTTCTATTTTCAAATCAATTTATTGCAATTCTTTTCAACTCGTGTTGTGTTTGAATAACTTTTTATTGAGTTAACCCTCGAATTCTGTTGCGAACTGACCCTCAATTAGGCGGTCCTTTTTCTTGGCGTTGCTGTGACTGCACCACCATTTGTAAGGCATGAGCCAAGTCTTGACCCGCAAAGTTGCAGAGTTCGCAATAACCGGGCGGTCCAACTGGGCCTACATTTTAACCTTGTTAAGTAATTTTATCTCAATATTTATGCTAAACATGAATACCTGGCGGCCCCGGAATACCTGGTTGGCCTACTCTTCCCTGTTGCCCCCTCTCTCCCTGTGGTCCTGGAAGTCCAGTTCCCTCAGGACCCGGTTGGCCAGTTGGTCCGGGCGGGCCCTTCACGATGACATTTAATTGAATAATTTGGACACAAATAATAATATTGTCAAAATCACCTGATGTCCAGTGTCTCCCTCCTCTCCCCTTTCTCCCTTCAGGCCCTGATCTCCTTTCTCACCCTTAGGGCCGTGAATACCTTGATTACCGGGAACTCCTTTAGATGTTAAATAGTCTTACAGTTAGTATTCCAATATTTTTTTATAAAGTACCGGGTAATCCTATGAATCCTATTTTAAATAATTTTATTTAATTTAAATTTTTTTTATCACTCTATGATTGCAAACCTCTCTCTCCCTGTAGACCCATTTGTCCTGGCTCTCCTTGTGGTCCTATTCATATGACAAATAAATAAATAATTTATTCTAAAACTTTATCAAGAATATACCCGGAGGTCCCTGGGGTCCGATTCTTGTTTTGCCATTTCTTCCGGGCGGACCGGGAGGGCCTTCAAAAGTCATCATTATTAGAGATTTTGAACCGATTTTACGTCTGATTAATGTTACCTTTAAATCTCGATTGCAATTCATTCATATGTTCTGCGAATCAAATCAAATTGAATTATAATATTTATATTTCTCAAATCATTGCTAACCTCTTAATATAGTTGTAATGATTTCTCTTAATTCTTCCTCAGAGTATGTTTTTCCCGGAATTCCTGGTTCTCCTTGTGGTCCGTTCTGACCTCTCGGACCTGTATTTCCGGGCACACCTGCTATACCGGGTGGCCCAGGCATACCCGGTGCTCCCACATCTCCAGGTGGTCCTTTATCTCCTCGAGGCCCCGAAGGACCAGGCTAAGTTCAGTAAATAGGACTCTTAATATATGTGACTATCCTCAATGAGTACTGACCACTCCTTGAATGCCAGGGAATCCCATTTTTCCGGGTTTGTCATCGATTACATCAATTGTTTTATAAACCGTTTCACATTTTGATTCACACTTTTAATATTAATTTTAAATTAATAATTTATGTTTTAAATCTAATAAAATGAACACAAAGAATATACCTGTCCTGGAGGACCCGATGGTCCTATTTCTCCCTTTTGTCCGGGGATACCATTAATGCCAGGCAATCCTTGAGAACCCGGTAATCCTGGTAAACCTTGAGGTCCCTTTTTTGAAGTAAAAATTGCTTAAATTATAAACTATTATAATTTAATATTTTATTGTTCTTAACCGGTTCTCCACTCAGACCCTGTTCCCCATCATTTCCATTCAAACCCTAATATAAAAATCAAAGTTTTTTTGAAGTAAAAATTGCTTAAATTATAAACTATTATAATTTAATATTTTATTGTTCTTAACCGGTTCTCCACTCAGACCCTGTTCCCCATCATTTCCATTCAAACCCTAACATAAAATCAAAGGAATTAAAATTGTATTCAATGAACACTATAAAGTGAGTCAACCCAACCCTTTCTCCGCGTTCGCCCTTTTGGCCGTTCGGACCTTTAGGTCCCGGTTCTCCTCGATCTCCAGTTTCTCCTTTTAATCCCACTTTCCCCACAATTACCGGACCCTTATTTAGAACTCAATTGAAGTCACAAATTGAAATAAATATTATTAATACTTGAGGTCCTGGCGGTCCTATAGGTCCGGGTTCACCATCTCTTCCAGGTATCCCAGGAGGTCCGGCAACCCCAGGAAGTCCCTTTGGAAGTAGTCTAAAAATGAATACATCCATATATTATTTAAACATTATTCCTACCGCTTCTCCTCTTTCTCCAGGAATTCCAAACCCTTCACCGTCTACTCCGGGCGCTCCAGTAGCACCGGTAGCACCAGTTAATCCAGGGATTCCTTGTATTCCTTGTTCGCCCTGTAGAAAGTGATTTTAACATAGAGTTTGTAAAATCATAAATATATCAAACGACAGACTTTCTCTCCCTTCTGACCCTCGGGTCCGATCTCTCCTCTCTCCCCAATAGGACCCGGTTCTCCTGGAAGTCCTGGAATACCCAGACCTGTTTGGCCCGGAGGTCCCTGTGGTTAATAAAATTTATCCGAATAAATATTAATATAAATTAAATACAAATATACAGACCTGAGGGCCGGGCGGACAGATCGGACATTCACTCGTGGGTTGTGTTGGTGAGGGGGTCGGTAGTGTAGGCGGAAGTGGAGGAAGTGTTACGATTGGTCTTTTAGACTGAATTTTTAATAATTAATAAAACAATAAAAATAATTGTCATAAGAATGGGTAAAATACCACAAACTCAGCGCACGATTCTCTCTCAGGACGGGTGGGATCACAGCTCACAACCAGGTATTGAAGATCTAACTAAACATTTAATAAGAATATTGAATTGTTTTGAAACTTTTCACAAATCAATAAATTTGGTTGACATACGGGAACGGTAGACAAATCGTCCTCAAACTTTGCTAACCAAATATCGCCACTTAAACTGATTGGACTCCTGATGGCGAGCGGAACCGTCGACTTCTTTTGGCAGTTGTGAAAGAGAGTGACTTTGTCTGAGAGGACACTGAAATGGATTTTATTCCAGTCGTTGTCTTCGCAGAAAACATTTGGGAATTTGAGAGTTTGGATGCGATTGTTGTAATCCAATGTATATAAGTCTAAGCGCTGTTTTTTAGGCAAATACGTGATCCCAAACCTATTGGTTCACAAGTTTAAGTACTTAACGAGTTATGCAACTGTTTAAACATACTGTGCGGCACCGGATTCATCACTGATCCGGATGACAGTCCACGTCTCCTCCTTTGACGGACGCTTCCGGAAGGAACAGACCAACGAAAACTGTTGGGGCAGTCCCTCCGGGAATACTTGACTTGTGTGGTAACAAATGGGTTATAAATAATTTCTAACAATATTTGCAACAAAATTAAAATCATCTACGAATGGGTATACTATGAGCACCTGGTAGGCAGTGTTAGGTCCGCTTTCTTTGATAATCGATATGCCGTTTGTATTTTGTTTGAACCGCGAACTCGCTTAACGCCCGGGAAGTCGAGATCAATGTCATCCAATTGGAACCGTCGGATCAGATCAAAAGTGGGCAAATCATCGGCGCCTTCGATAACCAGAGGACATCCGCCATCTGTTAAGACTAGAGGATAGCATTTAGTAGTGATTATCACATATTAATTCACAATCAATACCTGTTTCCGTTAACTCTGTTTGGAGTCTTCGTGGACTTAACCCTTCGACTGCAATCAAAATCTGTCAATTGATGTCTCATTTATAATATGCTTTAGAATTTACTCACAATGAGCTCCCAATACATAATATCTATTAATTACAGACAAATTGAGAATTATATAAAACAAGCACTGTTTGCATACATTCAATAAATTCATTTTAAAGAAATTTAAATGAATAATCAGATAATCAGTGAAAAGTTGTGAACTTGACTTTAGCCAACATTATCTACAGTTAAACAGTAGTGTAGTGTTGGAGACTTGGATGTGATGTGAACCTCATGTACCGCCGGAGTCTTATGTCTTATGCAAAACCATATTTCCTATATTTAGTAAAATTCTTTCATTGAATTATTGCTAATTTTTTCTTACAAAATAATTTTTTCAAATATTAGTTTGAAAAAAGTTCAGCAAATGTTTTCAAGTGTTAAAAGACATTTGTATGACATTTGTTAGTGACTTATGTTTAGACGCTTTAAACCATTAATTTCGGAACCAATAAAAAGAGTAGAGTTTAACCCAATTTGTTATTCTTTAAACATCTCTCTCTCTCTCTCTCTCTCTCTCCTCAGGAAATAAAATTAATTTATTATATTTTGTCTTTAATTTACGATTCAATACATACATATGATTCATATTAAACTTATTATAAGAATAATATTTAGTGTAGTTTTGAATAATTTATCTTTATTTACAAAATTGTTAAAAAATTTACAACTCTCTTATGACAACATTTCATTATAGATTAAATCATATAAATCTATGAAAACTTATTCAATATTTAAACAAAAGATAAATAATCTGATGATTCTTACGAATGAATCAAATGTGAAAAATTCATTAAAAATAAGCATTAAATAGAGTTAAATACAGAAAAACAATAGAAAACTAATGATATGTTCAAAAGTGATAAACGAATGGATGAGAAAATGTGTTATTCCTTGGAGTCGGCAATCCCTCCCTCAGTGATGGCAAATGTGGCCTCATTCTCGGCTAAGTCCGGACTGTCGTATATTTTGGCGATTCGACACTCACTGCGACCCTTTCGCAGGTATAGCCTCACAGTGGAGGCGTGCGCCAGAATGTGGCCACCGATGGGCTTCTTGGGATCCGCTTGGAATGACATGGCGGCCCCTGGAGGTGACGGATAAACATTTATTACTGTCAGTGGGAGTGAGTGTGTTAGGGGTACAGACCTGGATCGGCGGTCATTTGATTGGTGATAAACACGGCGATATTATATTCTTCACTGATTTTCTGCAGTTTCGACAACATTTGCGCCAACTTTTGCTGCCTTTCCGACAGCTCTCCCCTTCCGGAGTAGTCGACGCGAAACAACGCCATAACGGAGTCGACCACCAGAAGCTTGAATTGTCCGCAGTCTTCGTGGAATTTGGCCGCAACGGCGTCTACACCACAGACACATCACGCCGTCAACCATTGCATCAAACATAGGGTTCAATGAATGCATACCTAATATCTCGTACTGATGTTCACTGGTGTTGGCCCTCACGTACAGCACATTGTCGAGCGCCGACTCCTCATCCAAACCAAAACGCGATGCGATTTGCCTACGAATGCAATCATTGTATGAATTGGTTATCAACTGATGGCTCAGTGATGGCATACTTGAGCCGATCGGGACGGAAGGTATGTTCGGTGTCAATGAACATAGCCTTTCCACCAGAGTATCCATTGGATGGTATTTGACACGTGACTACACATGGATTCAAACATTGAATGAATGGCAGGAATGGTGCGAATGATTACTCACTGCAGAGGGTGTGAGAGATCTGTGTCTTTCCGGTCCTGAATTCGCCGAACGCCTCAGTGATGGCCATACTCTCGATGCCTCCGCCCAACAGTTTGCTGCAGACATACAGACAATGAATGGATGAATGGATGCGTTGGAAGCGAACACTCACTCAAACTCATTGGATCCGGTCTGCAGTTTGAAGACATGTCTGCGTTTGACAGACACCTGATTGGCGGTCATGAAGAGTGACTCCGACGACAATTTGTTGGCCATTTCCCTGATCTTATCGATCTTGGCTTCACTCAAACCCTTGATTTGAACCAATTTGCGCTTAACAGTCATCTGAAGCCCTTTTATCGTACAAATGCCGGAAGTCTTCAGTTTCTTGATGTCGGAGCTGTTCTGGTGTTCAATGGGTTAAGCAATGCATGAGTTGCGAGCACAGGAAGTACTGCTCTAATGGACTCACAATCCCGTGATTCTGCAGAATATCGATGTCTTGAAAGAAGGACTCCTGTCATCGAAAGGGCGGTTAAGACACAGACAATGCCATCAATGAGATAATCAGTGCTCACCTCCTCGTCATCGGTGGTACTCGCGTCCAACTGGTGCTCCGCCGCTGACATTGTGTTGAGCGGTGTGTATGGGATGTATGGGATGTATGGGATGTATGGATGGATGAGATGAGGGACCAAATGGGGTGACAATCGGTGGTCAAAGAGGTGTGACTCGAGTGCTCAGTGTTTCACTCAAACAGCGTTCGAATGATTGACACAAATGTCACAAAACTTTTCATTCAATTATTGCCACGAAATAGAACTCGACGTCTGATTGGCTGTGCGTTCGACGCATGCGTTCAACGCTCACGTCATGTGTTGTGCGAAAACATCTGTTTTGGTGTCAAATGAATGGTGTTTTGGTTGGCGTTGGAGTCGACCACTGATTGCGTGACTGCAGTGACTGTACTCCGAGTGGTGAGTGTCTGCAGTGATGTCGTCCACCGATTGTCCCAATTGTGTGAAAGTGAATGAAGTAATGAGTGACCAGAAGAACAAAATGGCGTTAATTGAGGTCCGCTTAAGAGATTTAGTGAAGGCTTACAAAAAGGTTTGTTCCGAAAGAGACAATCTTCTGGCCATCAGTTCGGCCACTGTTTTGCCGATCAATGACTCACACGAACAGCAAAAGCGTTTGTCGTCTCTGGAGGCGAGTGTCGCTGAAATGTCTGCCATTTGTGGCAAATATGAGTCGCAGAGCTTCAAAGACCAACAATTGATCCATGAGTTGACACAAAGATGTGAACAATTGACAAATGAGTTGAAATTACACGAAACGAGTGCCGCAAACACTCGTGAAAAGAGCCACAAATCAGAGAAGACTTATAGACACAGAGGAATACAAACGGAAGAATCCATGGAATCGAGTGATGAGACAAAGACTGATGTGTTGACCGATTCGGTCAAAGATGTGAAACATATGGAAACGCAGACCGACTTTGTCTCTGAATTTGATGTCTTTAACGGAAGTCATCACAAGAAAAGCGAATTAGCGATCGTTTTGCCCACTCTTTCACAGACACAACCAAATGATTGCGAATCAGATTTGGATGACTTGTCCGACAGAAGCAGAAGTCGTGCCAATAGTATTGGATCCAATGGTTTAGACAATTATCCGGTGTTTGAGACTCACCCCAGAGAAACGGCTCAAAGCAGTAATGAGTTGTTTGTGTCCAACAATTCAAGCGGTGTTTCCCTCTTCTATGCCAATGAATTGGCGCGAAAAGAGATAGATTTGGCCGAAACGAGACTACAGGCGCGCGAGAATGAGTGCGCTTTGCGTGAACTCCAGTGGAAATACAATACAGACAAATACAAGTGAATCATAATACTCTCTATACGTAACTAAACACACAATTAATGTTTGATTCATTGAATAGATTGCAGACCCGTATCACTGATTTGGAGAGAAATCTGTCGCAAATGTCTTCAAACCAACCGTTGAGTCAATTGAACGTAACGTATATTCGCAACGTTTTGATGAAATTATTGAACACTAAAGACAAACATCAGAAACAGTTTATGATTAACGCTATTCTGACGGCTTTGGACCAAAAGGATAAGAAACCCAAATGAGTGTCCATTGAGTTAGTGATTGAAAATATTGTGTAGATTTTGTTATCGTTGTTATTATAAACAACACTCAATGAGTGGTTTAATCTATATTTTATAAGTTTTATTTTTATATATCTTATGTTATAATCAATTCACAATAAATGTGTTACAGTATTTTATATGGATATACACACAGATTCAATGAAACCAAATGTCAAATAAATGAGATATCAATTTACAGTATTTTTATGAATGGCTTTTAGTTAATGTATTCAATTAGTCAACTGATAAGCGGGGAAACGGCTGTTCTTGGGTTGTAATAAATCCGTCAAATAATACAGAGTTCCTGCGAGTCCTTCAAACATAGAGAAGGGTCGGTCGGGTGTACGGCAGCCGTGCTCTCCATAAGCACAACACCACTGCCCGAACTTCACGGCTCTGAACACATACTTCTCCTCTCCAGTCAACTGATACAGTCTTAAGAAGGCGTAACCATTTCCGGCCGTCCCGTGACATAAGCCATAACCTAATCATCAAATTACAGATCAAAACAATCAGTTTTTTAAACAATATTTCAATCGATTCTCAATATAATGTCAAACCTTTCCGGAGAAGACCTCTCTTCCAAATGCATTCACAACAGTCTTTGGCTGCCATCAGATACCGTTCTTCTTTGAACACCTGATACGCCAAAGCAAACAAATGGACGGCACCGGGACTTCCGTGACACCAGTGGACTAATACATCTGACATGTCATCCAAACCCGACGGATAATTCCCCGAAGAGAGTCGAAGCGATAAAATGTAATCAATGGTCGGTTTCACGCATTTGTGTAACTCTTCGTCCGTCAGATAACTCTTGGCTTCCAATAGAAGAGACATAATTCCCATCAATCCATGCGCTGCTCCAAGATATGGGGTTTTGTACCAGTAATACATGAGAGGACACCTCTCACTCGTCTTGTCTTTTTTGGCCGTCTTCTGACCGGATCTGATGATAGCGTCGACAACAGCTCTGATGTCATTGTTTTCAATGATTTGATCAGAATTTGAGATAAATTTTACATGAGAGGACACCTCTCACTCGTCTTGTCTTTTTTGGCCGTCTTCTGACCGGATCTGATGATAGCGTCGACAACAGCTCTGATGTCATTGTTTTCAATGATTTGATCAGAATTTGAGATAAATTTTCGGACAAAAAGTAATGAATAGAGAAAACCAGATCTTCCGTAAAGCAGTTCATCCGGAGTTTTGGTGTCAATATCAGTGCAATACTTAACCATTGATTTTAAAACATTCAATGATTTGTTGCCTTCATTTTGATTACCATTCATGTCGTGAATAACTGATGCGATGCTTAAGACTCCGGAATCGCCCAAAAGAAAGGAAATGTCATCTCTTTTCAGACGTAATCGCTTAAGAGTGGGATCGATATAAGCGATGGCTTTGTCTAAGAGTTTGTGGTCATTGAAGACGAGAGACAAATGAAGATACAGTAAAGCATATCCAGTACTTCCCGTATAAACACTGTAATCATTTGAATCAATGGTTTTGTTCACATTTGTCTCCAAGTATTGCAACAGTTTTGTCAAGTTTTTCATCAAATCCTCTTTGACTCGACCATTGAGTCCATCACCGGTTGCGTCCAAAACACCATCCGATGGACCAAAGTCTTCAAAATGATTATCAAAGTAACGCTTTGTTGACATTTTTGGCGACAAATGATTTGTTTTCAAAACCAAAGCAAACGTCAAAATAAAGCAAACGTTTGACAACTGATTGCATGAGAAATGCATTGAAGTTATGGTGAAGTAAACGACGATTTTTGTCAACACATGACATGTGTTTTGGTTTCAAATTTGAATGTTTGTTGTGTCGAGCAATGCATCGATTGTTCAGTTTTCTCAAGAAATAAGTTTTCTTTCAATCCATGGATGATATACAAGAGGATCAAAGTGAGCCAACGAGTGGTCCCTCCACTGGAAGTGATGCCAATATCTGTGATCTCGAGTCTCAAGCGTTTGACGCGAAGACATCGTTGCTGTGGGACACGGATCAGGTGATGATACCGGTGGCCGGCGCCAAGATTTTCAATAATATCGACGAATACTTCCAGAAGAGTTTTGGCAAATCAAAGGCATTCAAACATTTGCCATCCGTTAGGGACACCACTCACGAGCCGCCCATCAAAAGGACTCTTGTGTTCGAGCCATCAGTTTCCACACATAAGAGACGGGAATTACAGACAGTTTTGACTAAAATGAAGACAACGGCAGCCAAAGGACCGAATGGTTTGCTTCTTAAGTGTCTTAATAATAGGATTAAAGTATTGATCAGAAGACGAAAGAGTGTGAAACTGTTTAGTGAAGAGATCGAGAGATTGCGGAGGGATTTGTTGGCCGCCAGAGAGAAGAATGGCATTTATGTGAACGAAGAGAACTTCCGGCAAATGGAACAACAGATTAAGGATCAGATGATAGACATCGAGGAAAAGATCGCACAAATCAATGGATTGCACGAAGAGATGAATCAAATTCAACAGCTGTTCGATGAGACCAAAGAGGAGTTGAACACAAAGGCCACGGAACTGGAGGTGACGACCAAGACGTTGGATAAGACATCGCACGCGTTGAAGGAAACTAAAAGCGATTTACACTTAACTCGAGTCGATAGAGACGAACAAAAGCATTTGGTTGGCGTTCACGTGAACACTGAGAAAGTGCTGTCAACTCAGGCCAAAGAACTGCTGTCTGTGGCAGAGGTGACCACTTCTGATGTCCACAAACTGCACAGTAAAGTGGATCGACTCAATAATGTCGAGTCCAACAACTGGACCAAAACCAACGAGTTTCAGGTTTGGCTTAACTTTTGAGATAATTTTTAGGATTGAATTGATTGTGATTTAATTTATAGGAGAAATTCATGACTGATATGAACCGATTGGAGGAATTGGTGTCAATCACCACCACTTCATATAACGATAGTCTGGAAGAAATGAAAGCCGCTATCAATGAGAAGACGAGTGCCACCGAAGCCGTTGTGACCGACACTCAGAACAAAATCACGTCATTGACTGATTTGACGGCTCAACAGATGACTCGTTTGTCTTCAATCTTCCAAAAGGATCGACTGGTTTTGGAACAGACTATCACTTTGAAGGACAACAGTTCAGAGATGTGGAGCTTTTTGTGTCAAACATTTAATGAGATATTGTCTGAAGTGAAGACAAACCAAACAAATATCTCGGAAGGCATTGAAAAACTGAACGGAATTATTGCTAAACAACGGGAAGACGTGGAAGAGTTGGTTATGAAACAAAACACTCACCTCAAGAATATCTCCAAAATTACTGTCAACTCATTGAATAACATTAAAACTGATTTGAAAACTACTTTCGAGAGTCAGAGTAAGTTTCTCGAGGAATCATTTCTATGAGATTTGATTGTAATTTGTATGGTATTGTGTGATCACAGGTACTAAACTGACATCACTTATGGAACAAATGGAGCGCTCGGACCACGCGAACAACAAATTACAAGAAGACTTGGACCAAGAGATGCAACAATTGATTGAAAGCATTCATAACTTTAACGCCAATCGCATCAAAACTCGTGTCAATCATCAGAACTCGAGCTCTGAATTGAATACTAAGTTAATGGAGACGAAGAAAAACTCGACTAATTGTTTCCAAGACTTGAGTTCCAAAGTGGATGGATATGTGTCTCAAATCCAAATGGAAGAGAAGATTGCACTCAAATATGTGGAAAGCGTTGATAACTTGAATACAGAGAATACCCAACAATTGATGGATCAGACCAATGAAGTGAATGTTAAGAACACAGAACTTCCGAATCAAATCCAAGAGTTGATTACCACTCGCAAAGAGACCACATCTGAGAAGTTCTCGCATTTCAATCATTTGATTGTCGACTCAATCAATTCGTGCGACAAACAGATGAGTGCCAAACAGTCGGCTCTTAAAGAGATGTCTGACTGTCTTAATGAAGGCCTCAGCGAACAAAAGAGTTTTGTAGTGAATATCGTCGAAAATGTCAAACATATCACTGAATGTGTTTCGGAGAAGACTTCAGAAATGAGTCGAATGTCAGAGACTATGGAAAAGTCTCAGATCAGAGCAATTGAAAGCCGTTACAAGAGTTTCGAGGCATTTGTCAAAAACGATTTGACTAAAGACATACCGACCGGAACGACACCACAAAAGACTGACTACAGTTACCCGCGAGACCTGCAGCAGACGTCTCCGCACGAGAGAATTCTCGAGCGATTCCGACTCAACAGCGCCGCCAATACATCACTGCCTGAAGAGAATGAATCGGAATTCCTGTCCGATTCCAACAGTTCTGCGAAGAGTTTCGGCTCTAATGACGAGAACGCGAAGCCATTGACTGACACTCAGAAGCGACGGAAACCAGGATTTCAATCGAAAAGCAAATCCAATTCCAGTCTTAAAAAGATTTCAGAATCCGAACAGACATTCAGTGTCTCCGATACCGAACCCCAGAAGCGAACCATAGTTACCCCCAAGCCTTTGACGGCTAATCGAAACAATTAATGATTTTTATTGTATATAAGTTTGGGTTAAAACTATCCCTATATTTAAATTCCTATATTTTAAGCTTTTAATTATATTTCAATTTATTCAATTATTATTCATATTTTTATTGCAAATAATTTTTACCACAATTTTAATAATATTTTGTCACAAATATCTATTCAATACAAATAAATTGATTTCGGCATCACTTTTATGAACACAATGTTTGAAATGAATGGATTGAAAGTCAGACAAAACTAATGAGAACCACATTATCACCCCTAATGAACACTTGCTTTATATGGTTGCAGACATCGACCGCCACGTTGTCTGCGGACAACTTCTGGTACTTCTCGTCGACATCACTCATACAGAGGTTGTGGTGTTTGTCATACGCTATCAAAACACCACAAATCCAACCAAACCTTCCACTAAACAGTTTCACACTCTTTCGTCTTCTGATCAATACTTTAATCCTATTATTAAGACACTTAAGAAGCAAACCATTCGGTCCTTTGGCTGCCGTTGTCTTCATTTTAGTCAAAACTGTCTGTAATT